GGCAGTTGGGCTCTGAGGGAATACCTGAAGAGCTCCTATGGTGCAGCATGTGCATTCTAAAAATAAAGTTCATTCCTGCTTGATAAGTGGCTCGTGAATTGTGCCCAGCCAGACTGTGGCAGAAGGGTGTGGCAGAAGGAAGCATCTCAGGACATGGCAACCAGGAAACAGAGAGAGAGCTCTGCTCACCAGGGATGAAATATAAATTCTAAAGATGTACCCCTAGTGATCTACTTCCTCTGGCCATTCCCTACCTGCCTACAGTTATCACCTGAGTAGCCCACATCAGTGGATTAATCCACTAGTTAGGTTATATCTCTCATAATCTAATCATTTCACCTCTGAGTATTCTTGCATTGTCCCACACATGAGCTTTTGGTGGACAACTCATATTTAAATCATAACAGCAGTACACGTTCTCCTATTGATTAGTAACAGAAATGAGTCTAGTATACCACATAGGATGAAGAAGAGCAGCCTTTTTATCATGGGACTTTCCATCAGCTCAATCAAATAACTTGGTCTTCACTTACAGGTAGTTTTGCCAACTGGCTAGCCCCTTATTTTTATAGTCCATATAACCAAATTACTTTGATACAAAAAAATGCATTTCCAAGACCCATTCACCTGTTTAGTATCATGTCTTCTCATTTTTCCATTTTTCTAAAGTGACTAAAATTCTTTATTTAATTACATATGAATACGCATTAAAGACATCAGAATAAGATACTTTTTCATTCTTCGGAGTTAAATTCCATTTTTCTATTCTATGGGTGTTTCGGTAGGATTGGGTAATCCAAACTGTTATATTTAAAACTGATTATTTCTGAAATTCTTCAGAAATAATTCTATGCACTTTGTTACAGATAATCTTTTCAGTTCAGGCTTGACACATATAGACAAATGTGTGCCAACTGTCTCCTTTTTATATTTGAGTGAATAACTAGAAGCAATGTGTGGCAGAAGGGGAAGAGAGGATGGAAGGATTACAAATATGCTAATGACTTTGAATATTGCTTCTCCTCCATTCTACTCAAGTGAAAAAAAATTGCTGGTTCTTTATTCCTATTACTCTCCTATGTACTTTTAAGAGTGTGCACAGTGTCCTTATAAATTCTCAATTGATTCTCATGTGTAAGATGCTTTACCTATCTCTTTCTCAATCATTTTCACCTTAAAAATCTCTAACTTTCCACTTCCTTTATTTTACTTAAATTACATGGT